AGAGCGGTTTCTGTCAGAGCTCTCTCAGCCCCACCTACCTCACAGGGTGTCTGTTGTGGGGAGGGGAAGGGAAAGGAGTCTGTAAGCCGCTCTGAGACACCCTTGGGTAGTGAAGGGCGGGCTATAAATCCAATCTCTTCCTTCTTCTCCTTCCCTCGCCAGACTCACCCAGGGGTCCCGCTGCGGGAGGGCCTGAGCTTGGGCTTCCTGGGCGGAGACCCCCGGCCCCTCGTCCTCTTTGCCGATCTCAGAGCCGAACTGGGGAGAGAAGGAGGAAGCGTCATCAGACCCCCCCCTGGAGACAAACCCCTTTCGGGTCACGTCCTCCTCCCACCCCATTCCCTGTGCATGCAACCCCCCGGGGGGGTCTTTGCAGTGAAGCCCACACAGGCAGAGGGGCTAAGGGTGCCAACCGCCAGGTGGCACCTGGAGATCTCTCTCCACTACAGTCGACCTCCAGGTGACCAGGATCCGTTCCCCTGGAGAAAATGGCTGCTCTGCAAGGTGGACTCCAGCCGGGAGACGTCCAGAGCCATGATGTGTCCCATGCAGAGTGAAACTCCTGGCGTTCAGGAGACACCCTCCACAGCCACTCCCCCCCCCCCCCCCCGGCAGACCCTTCTCATATCTCAAGACTGTCTCCTCTGACTGGGGAGGCATCTCCAGGGACTTTTAACAGGAGCAGCTGTCTGGAGGTGAGCCCGGGATCTCCTGTGGGCAAAACTTCCTTCTGGAAGGGAGAGGGGGCACTAAGTCTCTGAATCCCAGAGCCAGGAGGCAGCCTCAGGGGAAGGCCTCAGCCTCCGTGCCCCCCTTATTGGCCCTCCAGAGGAACTGGTTGGTTGCTGTGTGAGACGGGAGGCTGGGCGCGATGGGCCCTCACTGGTCTGATCCAGCAGGGCTCCTCTTCCCCACACTCACGGCACTGGCTTACCTTCCCTGCCAGGCGGGCTCCCCGGTGCGGGGGCAGGGGGGCACTCCGACTGGAGCCTTTAACACCACCCGAAGCACGTCGATGGGGCTTCTCTCCTGCGTGGCTCTCCCGGTGTATGAGGAAGTCAATATAGGAAGTATACGTTCTCCCACACTGTGAGCACTTATATACTCGCTCTGCTATATGAGTCCTCTCATGCACCATGAAGGTTGAAGTCCCCTGAAATGTTTGCCCGCAATAAGAACAAGTGTATGTTTTCTCCTCCATTTGCAGGTTCTCGACTTAAGGCAGTGCCCTGACGGGAGTTGTTTCCACGGTCTTGGTCCCTCTGTGTCCTTTTACGCCTCAAGAATCTCTCACTCGACTCTCAACTTCCAGCATTTGCCTCACAAACCAAGGCTAGTTCAGGGTTTTCCCTCCACAAGATCATTCAAATGACTTTCTGTCCCCAGGTGAATTTCAGGGCCCCCAAAACAAATCCATTAAGATCCTTCTAGAAGTTGATCACCAACGGCCACTCGCCCAGCTCCCTTCTGCAAACGATCCTCTCCTCACGTTCCAGCACTTGGATATCAGATCCTGGAACAAAATCAGGACATCATGAGCAAAACCCCCCACAGCAGTGATGACCCCTCATCTTTCCCTATAGTGTCGGACCTTCACCAGGGAGGAGAGAAGCGCATCTCTATGCAAAGATATTCCCCTCTTAAGCCCAGGGATTTCTATTTATATAGACTGGAATATCGCTGGGAAAGTATCCTTCACGCGCAGTACTAGACAACGAAGTAACTGGAAAGAAACCCTGCAAAATGGATACTCCCTTGTGATCTAGCTCATGGGTGAGAGATTTAGAGAAATATCCCAGAGAAGTACTAAGCAAAGTCTTCACAGTAAGTTTTATCATGAGAGAGATGCCACACACAAACTTGGAAGCCACAAGGAATCTAACGACAGATTGTAAGATCTAACATAGTAATGCGAATGTAACAATGCATTATGTCAAATTACCCTGTTTGTAAGCTGCACTGCTATCACTTCATTCTTGTATATTCTGTTGAAATACTAATACAATTATTTTTTAAAAAATAGAGGGAGGGAGGGGGAGAGAGAGAAAGGTGGTTGGAGTCAAAATGTGTTGGAAAAGGGGCAAAACAAAATACAAGGAAGAGGCACACAACACCCAGGGATTTTGAAATAAAAAACAATTGTTGTTCAGTTGCACAGTCGAGTCCAACTCTTCGCGACCCCATGGACAAGATCTCGCCAGGCCCTCTGTTTTCCGCCGTCCTCTGAAGTTTGCTCAATAAAAAGCAATACAGTTGGGCTAACTCAGGGAAGTACAGGTTACCAAGGCTATATCAGCTTCCTCAGAGCATGTGCAGAGTTCCTTGCTGTACCAAGATGTTGGAAGAGGCCTTATGTCTAACGAAATCCCAGCCTCCTGTGGATCCTACTGTGGATTTCAAACGAAGGCAATGGAAAATCCCAGAAGTCCAGGTATTGATGGCCAATGGAATCTGATCTAAGAGCAACAAGCTGATTTCGCCAGTCCCACTCAAAGACCCATCTCTGATGTCAGAGGTACTGTTACCAATCAGAAACATTTAAAATGATGGTCCCGCCTCTTCAGGCATTTGCTAAAACGCCAGGGGGTCCAAGACCCCAGACGCTCTAGGCTGGCCCTCAGAAGGCTTTAGGGTTTCTATCAGGTTTTTAAGGACAACTCAAACTTGTAATAGACAAGTATGGAAACACAGAGATCCTGAGGGCCCCGGAGAGACCAAGTAGGCCTTGACAGGCCCATCAATGCATTCATGTTCAATGAAACATCAGCTTATAAATAACGGTTTATCACAACGTCTGAATGCGGCCCCAGAATGCTGCTCAGCCGTGAAACGAACTGGACAAGCTGGATCCCACCACGATCCTTCAGAACTCTTTTGACACCGGCCTGAGGGGCCTGGAGAACGAAGACGGAGAAAAAGAAGGCGCTGGCTGTGTAAGAGCATAAGAGGAGCCATGTTGGATCAGGCCAGGGGCCCCTCCAATACTCTGTGGCACACAGTGGCCAAAGCTCAAGTGATTTTTGTCCTCCCTGAACCTCCTTTCAAAACCAGGGTAGTTTTGGCAAACTGCGAGCTCAGGCCACCCTCAGGGGGCCACGCACGAGTGGACTCCGCTACGCTGCTGGTGGGTAAACTGGAGACTTCCCCCATTAACTTCTGGTAATTGTCACTGCAAGCGCTACTTGCATAACGCAGTGGTTTTCACGTATCTTTAAAAATTTCCAGGCTGCTTCTGCCCACCCACAAGGCCCAAAGCAAATGAAAGGCTCGGACTTGGACACCCCAGGGTGGCCCCGTCTCATCCGATATCGGAAGCGAAGCAGGGGCAGCCCCAGTCAGTATGCGGATGAGGAAATCCTGGATCGCTATGCAAATCCCGGAAGACAATTCAAGAGAAATGGACCATATACTGGAGATGGATGGAAGAAGAACAAAGGAACGACGTTCAGTGGAAGCTCCAAACACTATGCCCCTGGCTGAGAGAAAAGGACTAAAAACAACAGACTGGAGGGGGGGGAGGGGGGAAACTGTTAGAGTATAATGGAATATGAAAATGTATAATCAGAACGATAATAATAATAACAATAAAAATATCTAAACAAAAAAAAAAAGTATGCAAAGGCCGGCAATGGGAAACCACCTCTGTGAGTCTACTGCCTTGAGAACCCTACAGGGTCACCGTTAAGTCAGCTGAGACTAGATGGCAAAAAACAGAAAGAGAAGGAACTCAAAACAGCTCTATCATCCGGTCTCATATTCCATCACATTCAGCTCTGTGATACCCTTTCTGGTGACGGGGCAGAGTTATAATTCTGGGAAAGTTCTGGCGCAGCAGGACAAAACGCCGTTGTTTTAAAATGTCAGTTTAACTGCTCGGGTTTTACCCACTGCCTTCAATCCAATCTTAGCTATGCTTATCACCAGTTACTGATCCATCTTGGCTCTAAGCAGCCCTTCCTGGCCACGAAACCTCCCCCACCCCCCAGTTCTACCTATATGTAATGGCTGAGGAAGTTCTGTTTCACTGTACCTGAAGAAGTGTGTGCGCGCACACCAAAGCTTAAACCCAGAATTAAACTTTGTTGGCCTTAAAGGTGTCACTGGACTCAAATTTCCCAACTAAAAGTAGTGTTTGGCCACAATTTTCTCCTCTGTTTTCAGCAGTTCAGCATAAAGGAGGAAAATGCAGACAAACACCACTTTTTGGGGTTAGCCTGCAAAGACCCCACAATTTTCAGGGGGTGGGGGCGGCGGCGGCATGGGGCTGAACCTGGTCCAGGCCCCCACTTAGTAGCCTACATTAAATTGTTTTAACTCTGAAATTATTTATATTCCCAAAAGCCATCAACAATGAATCAGGTGGTTTTAAAGATGTCATTTGCCCCCACTCGTAATAGTGTGACTCTCCGTCGAAGAAAGGAAAGATGTCCTAAATAAATAGGTGTAATGAACTCCTGCACTTAAAAGAATTTGCGGGATTACTTCGTGTATGAAAGGGGAATACTTCCTCCCCCTTTCTCTGTTTTCCCGACAACCCAGCCCGAATGTGCGACTGGACCAAGGGCATGTGGCTTGCTTCGTGGCCAGCTAGAGATCTAAACTCTGCTCTCTCCAGTCTGAGACCAGCATTCTCTTCAACCCCCCCCCCCCACCTGGGGACCGTCTGAACACAGCATTCCCGACCCCCCCCCCCCCCCAACTGGTGGAGACTCCCCGGGAATCTCCAAAGGCATCTCTGGATCCACACCTTAAGAACATAAGAGAAGCCAATGTTGGATCAGGCCAATGGCCCATCCAGTCCAACACTCTGTCACACGGTGGCCAAAAATACCAGGTGCCATCAGGAGGTCCAGCAGTGGGGCCAGGACACTAGGAGCCCCCCCCCTATTGCCCCCCACCCCCATGCACCAAGAAGATATAGCATCACTTGCCCCAGACCTAGAGTTCATATAAGAACATAAGAGAAGCCAGTGTTGGATCTGGCCAAATGGCCCATCCAGTCCAACACTCTGTGTCACACAGTGGCCAAAAATACCAGGGGCCATCAGGAGGTCCACCAGTGGGGCCAGGACACTATTGGCCCCCACCCCAAGCACCAAGAAGACATAGCATCACTTGCCCCAGACCTAGAGTTCATATAAGAACATAAGAGAAGCCAGTGTTGGATCAGGCCAATGGCCCACCCAGTCCAACACTCTGTCACACAGTGGCTAAAAATACCAGGGGCCTTCAGGAGGTCCAGCA